TGTGTACAGTGTGTGATGCATTTAGGCCTTCTGTNCAAACACCGACTAAGGATACTCGAAACCTTATCGACCGCTCACAATAAACCCACACTGTGCGTCCAAAAGCGTACGACCTTTACTCTTGGCCTTCCCTGGCTGTAACCAATCACGTGCATCAAATAAAAATGAAAGTAAAATGACATTCCATTTTATTATTTTAGCTAGACGAAATTGCGTAAGTCGAATTGTGAAATCAATTTAATTCTTCTAAATTATATCCATCATAAAACTGTCAAGCACACGACCGAAATCATTGAGATTAATCACTTGTTCACCATTATTACTCTAGTTATGATTAATAAGATTGATCATTTTTCATTGGAACTAATCATGAGTTATTCAGCAAATTGCACATAACGCTGCAGAATGATACAACATATATCCGATGTCATTGGTAATATTTCATGTTGCTTCTAGAAAATTGGTCCCTGGTATATCAGTGAAGTTGAATCTAGTTCGGCCGCATAACGAAACATCCGGCCTCGGTACCAACTGATGGATCGTATTCTTGTTCTTCTTGCTTTCGTTTTGGCTTATAGTGTGACTCAATCAGTAATAACCCATTTTTTCTCGTTTCCTTATGCCTCCTGTTGGCCTGCCAAATTCTGCCCAGTTCCTTCGGGTCTTCCCGTATCCGCCCAAGCAGGTCTAGTTCTATACATATCTAATCATCAAAATCAGTATCTTGACTAACGTTGAATTAACCGTCGAATGTTCGGTTATTTTTTGTGTATAGATCAATCGCCTATTTGCTTGTGCAAACCGAAGATTAACAAATAGGTCCTGCCCTTCCGTGACACAAAAGAATAAGTATTTTGACACAAGCAGATACTAGTAGCAGATACTGACTTAGAATCAAATTCAATGAGATGTATTTGTAGTTCGAATATCTGGTTAGGATTGGAAGATAATGATGAAGGCATTGTGAAACAGCATCTATTAATATCAGCTCAATTTTGCTCTTCATTTATACTATCTTCGTGAGGACAATCCCTAGCTAGCAGCGGAGTAAGTTATAGTAAATACTCCGTTACCTGAAACCGTAGTTTGTTTAACTAAGAAATGTTATTTTTGGAGACTTTTTAATGCGGTCTGATAAGGGATGAATCACAAATCTGCAAACCGTATCGCATGCAAAGATGACAATTACTTGAAAAAAAGAATACGATATATATACGATAATGAAACTGAAGTGGCACGGTAAGTTAGATCACTGGAACGTTACTCCAGTTCGAAAATGTTATTTGGTGAAAGTGGATTGGCTTTCCAACACAAAATTGCATCAACCCCATCAGAGTAGGTGACTGAAAGTTAAACTGCTATTACAGTACTGGCCGATTGTGATGCACTGAAATATTTTCTTTATGATCAAATGGAGTTTCATCATATTTATCACCTGTATTAATACTTTAGGTATGGACAATAATTTATATCCTGTCTACTTCGATCTACGTAGTTTCTAGTCTGCGTAAGTGTCAGTTAAACGTGCCTGACCTTGAGTGCCAAGATAAAATGATCTGAACACGAAAACCGCAAACTTTATCAAGTATGACAACGCAGTATTTTCTTATAGGAATGACTCAAGAATTATTCCCAATTATTTCCATAAACCCTTGTCACCTCGGTTATTTGTAGTGAGGCATTATTTTATCTAATATATAATCCATTATAGCAACTCTATTGGATAACCAAATGAAATTCTTTCACAACCCAGAGAAATTGCATTAAATAAGGTTTCATAATTATAATCTATGTTTTCTGTTTTGAAGCTAGAGGTCAATGTGCTACCTATGCATTGGACATTGGAGGCAAAAGTTCGATACGTAACGGAGCACAAAATAGAAAATAATTTCATAACAAAGTTGGTGGATTCGATGCCGAAGGGTCTCGAAATAGCCCTAAAGAACAAAGGCAGACCACTCGACTATTAGTGTACACAAACTTTACATCTTACTTATTTATTATCAATGTTAATTTACTGTTAATAAAAACTGTTCCATTCTCTTTAGTTACCTCTTAACTCATCATGGTCTAGGTCAACCACTACTGACGAAATGGGAGTATGCGCTACATTCTGAACCATTCCATCTGCTGAGTATAAACGATTGAGGAAAATCACGGCTATAAAGACTCTCCAAGGATTGAAAACAAATTCACTCTAGTATAAATGCTGTTGCCTATACGAACCGACAAGTGTTTCACAGGGACCCGTTGCTTCAGTTTCGATTAGACCTGTAAGTTAGGGTAGTATGAAATTGGACAATTATATTGCGGTTTATCTAGTGATAATCACACGTTACCACTCGGTGAAAAGCTTTGGAAGCACTGTTCCTTTTGTCTTAGTGGCACAGTGTACCTTGCATATCAACCGCAATCTGATAAATATGCGAACCCGAATTTCCAGGACCGCAATTCAGGCACCTTATCACCGGACTACGGAAGACAGCTTCAGCAGTCGGTTTCCCATAGCTCCTGCATGATATCTGCCACCGAATGTTGATAAACGTTACCTAGACAAAAGTAAATCCTGTTGTTCATGCCCTCTGGAAAGTTGTGGGCTCGGTCCGAGCAGACTGTTTGATTGATCTCAACGTAAAACCCGTTCAGAATGCGTAGACTATGGCTGTAAGGCAATCGAGTCCCCTTTGAATGAGGATTTCATAAACTTCAGACAAATTCTGAATCAAGCAGATCTTATCATTTTGGGAAAGGTGTCTCAGAGTAGCGCGTACGTCTATCAGTGTGCTCACCAAACAAAACTGTTACTGACGACAATTGCCTACAACATTTAGGAACTTGAGTTTCATGCCGGAGAAAATCCAGAAGGTAAACTTTCACGGTATCAAGTATTTCAATAACTCCGCATGAACTTATTCCCTTCAATTTCTATCAGAGTAATGCACGGGGATGGCTTGCACTGAGCCACCTGATTCGAAGACCGGATAAAGAAAGAAGTGAAAACATCTGGCAATCATATAACCTTTCTATTCCATGACGAAGGTCGTTAGAAAGGTTGGGTGAAATAGCCTAATTTTCCGAAACAAATAGCACATACGTGAAGTGCGATTACAAATGCGTGCCAAACATCAACTGAAGCTGTGAATGACATCTAGTCCATCAGTCTTATACAGGAGGACAGACGAAAACTGTTAAACAACGCTATGTTTAAACGATTCAAGAGAATAAAGGTAGGTCACCACGTGAGAACCACAGAATTGTACTTAGAATAGTCTCCTATTCGTTCCTGTTGCCTTTGTCCCACAAAAACCAGAGTTGTGGACGACATCCGGCCTGTTTATTGCCCAAAACGGACTGTGTTGAACAGGCTCGGCTGTTGTCCTACAGAGCTCGTCAGTGTTGAGTAGAATGGCCGAAAATTGCCCAAAGGCAACTAAGTTTAACAATAATGGCAAAGCCGTCGACGGAACCACTCGTGCAGACATGGCATGACCTATCATATTTAACTTGACAGCCGTCATGGATGCTCAATCCATTCCACTTTGCTTTGAAATGACGACACTATAAAAGCGGCTAGGCTTGGTTCATAATACCCAGTGAGGGACTGGTTTTCCAGGAACGAATTGCGTTTCCCCCTCCCAGTATCATTACCACGAAACTCATGACTGTCACTTATTCGAGTGAAAATTCGCCATGGTTTACGAAATATACCTCGCCTGACAAGCTGATCGGGGTATACTACCCAATTAGCTTTACTTTGAATGTCAACGACCTTTTTCCTCATAACTCAACAGCCACTTTTATCAGAAACTAAACCATTGAAATAGTCAGCCTTATATACTGCCCGGAATAATACCTCATCAACTGCGGTTTGTGATAGTCAGAACATCCACATAAATATTCTTCCTCGATGTTTCTCATTTGCTTATGTGAGTTGCTTGCTCGGTACCGCAGCCGTGTAGAGTGCCGCTTCAAACTCCTTCCTTTCCCCACCTGACCGTGTACACTGTAAGGCTGTTAGTCTTAATCTCGATCTTTCCCTAACATTAGACTTGCAATCGCAAGCTGTTTGTTAGGCAGTAGATGTGCTGCCTTTTTATCGTAAATTCTTAATGCTTACCTATCCAAAGCCGCATCCTCTGTCCTTACTATGCTCATATTCCTTCGCAAGTGAAAAGTTCTGTTTGCAATCCATCCCTGACACGTGACAGAACCGGATGAAAAATAAATGAATAACATGAACTAATTCACTTGTGCCTTCTTTCTTTCTTTGTCACACTCTTCACCATCCATACTGATTCAACTTTTCATAATCATCTTAAGAGAAAATTTCCTCAGTAACCGAATGCCCGAGATACACGTTCATTAACCAAAACTTAGCAAGAATAATTAGAACTTGTACTACAATCTATACAACCAGCTTGATGGTCAGCATTGCGCTTACATGGTACAAGCTAACAGACATGCGACCATGTACCTGACGGCTACCATGCAAGAATTAGCACGAACTCCTTTTCTCCCTCCCTCTGAACATGAGACCAACCGCGAGTGTGAAAGGGGAGTAATTCCCCGTCACATCTTTGAGACCCTGAGTTATATAACAATATGCACAGGACGCTTGGCTATCGAACACCACTAGGATTGCTTTTTATGCGTGTACGTCTGGTACCAGTCAGGAACAGCTGTGCTACGGAGGGATGCGTGATCGATACTGTATGCGGTCGCAACAAATACCCCTTATCCCACAGCCCCATATGAAAACAAAAATAGCTTAAGAATACTAAAATCAAATCAAGCATGATTAAAGACAGATTTTCTCAGAGTATTGAAAAAAAAGATCGCGAAAAGTAAAGTAAAGCAAGCGTGAACAATTGATAGGTCAGATATGTATCACTGATAAAGCTCAACTTTTGATGCTTTGGCGCGCACAAAGTCCAGTTTTGCTTCATTCAAATGGATGTTCATTGTGGTTCGTAATCCACGCTCGATAAATGCAGTTTGCATTAGTTCTCCTCCGGATCAAGGACATGGCCCATGAATATAGGTATTTTATCATCGTAAACTAGGGCCACAAAGAACGGATGAACCACACGGACCTGCATAGATGGCATTATGCAACAGAAAGTCGCAATTGCTCCAGTAGCCGCAGCAGCCGTGGCACCTTCCTCGTCAACCTGTGGCAAAAACGGAGTGCGTTTTGGACATGTGGAAATGTTTGGTCACTAAACATAATTCACCGCTATATATATGTACGGTATTAAAACCACTGAAGTAAGGAAAGCTTGTGATTGCTACAGCACATTTGTCTCCCTCCTTTTTCTCAATCAATTTTCAATCATAAATAACTTCTTCATTTATTCAAACAAAAGATGTGTTCTTCCTACAATAGCTAAACACATTTGGTGATGACGAAGCGTATGCTTTAATCCATAAATTAACTGTACTGTCGGTGAACACAGTCTGAAATAGGGATGATTAAACATTTATTAGCCTGGCGATGAAACACTCGGGAGACGCACACAAAGCTCAGAGAACAACAATAAAAAGCGCAACTCTCCCGTCTGATTAGCATATATATATATATATTTACCACCGGCTTGAAAACAAGCATGGTGCCAACGCAACGTTGATCGCCTCATCGATTCAAGTAACCAGACAGAGTGAAGATCACGCGAAAAGAACAATGCTAGTTTATTAATTATTAGTAACTTAAGGAGAACTTATGAATAACGCAGTTGTACTCTTCCTGCGGTACCAGTTTTATGCCAGAAAACAGAAATCATATCAGGCTTATTCTCAGTAAAAATACAAATAAGTTTCACTAAAAGAAATAATTTTGAATGCTAATAAGGATAATTAGCACTGAGCGTTTTCTTACAATGGTATATTCGGACAATCGATCACTAAATCATTCATTGTGCATTACGCATTTGGTCACATGACAGATGACGATAGTCTTCAGCCCTCAATCTAAATATTCTTCACAAGAAATGAGTTAGTTTGGTCATTGTAACGTGCCGTTGGACAACCAAGTGTAATATCCTTCAAGATAAGCAACACAACTTTTGAATTGCAACCATTATGGTTCTGAAGGTTGCACAGAATAAATGTCCACCAGAGAATTCTATCAGTCCTCACTGAAGTTCATTAGCGGTGGGTTTTTGATGTCCTCAAACGTTCAAAGGGGAGGGTACCACGTGAGAAATCCTGGAAATGTTTCTACTAAACTACAGGGCAACACCAAATCCCAATGTCCCGAACGGTGCGTCTCCGGCCGAGGCAATGTTTGGAAGAAAAATTCGTACACCATTCGACGTAATCCTCTCGGAGCGTCAGAGCAAAACACCCTTGGAAATCTCTCGCCCTAAGGCAATGGAGCTACAGTTCAACCGCCACCATGGTACGCGGGATCAATCGTTTGTGAGGCCAAAACGTTTTGGCGAGAGACTACCGCAATAAAGAAGGAAGGTGGACAGTTGGTCGAGTATATCGAATCCGGGGAAAGTCATCTACGAAATCTTAGTTGGTTCTGAAATATGGATGCGGTATGCCAACCAACTAAAACCGACAGCCGGCAGTGAAAAAACCGAACCTCGAAACAAAATTGTCGCTGGACATATTAATGGAAACATTCGCCATGCCAGTTCCAAGCCGTGAGCCGAAAACACCAACACCCCCAGTGAAGGCCGAAGAATCTCTGAGACCTCAACGACGAACGGGTTGCAAGCGCACAGCAACAGTGCCGTTCCAAATCAATCCGAGATTACGATCCTACGACCAGCCATCGAGCTCCAAAGGGGGAAGTGTCCGGACGGAGCTTAAGCAACCCGTACGATCGCACACGCCTCCGAGTCAGGCTACACGCACGCTTACAACGCACCAGACAAGCCGAGCCCGATTGGAACAAATCAGTCAATGTTTGTGTCATGGACGCTATCTGATTGATTGGTGCGTCACTGCGCCGTTCTCGTATGCATGATTTGCGTATCGAAATCCAATAAAAAAGAATACACACTGGCTGTTGTCTCAAGCTGTTCTTTCTCCGTGTTATCGTAAGGGGTTATGCAAGAGTGGCTCGTGTCATTCGTACGTCTAGTCCAAACACAACACGCTAAGGAGTCGAAGCCCTTATCCATGAGGTACACATGCGGCAACACCTTGAGCGAATGGCCATGCCAATTTGGAATTTACGTGCGCGTTGGCCTATTCAATATTTACAAACACTAGAGCTTTTGTGTGGATTTTACTCCTTGGGATTCCCTTGAAGCCCAACATCTTCGGTGCAGTTGATCTGCAGTGCATGTTGATTTTGTGAAGACCGAGGAAGAGTACTGAACAGCTTGTTCGTCCTAGTTGAGTCTCATCAGTCGTGCGCACTTGTTTTTTCCCAACCGGGACTCAAGTTTAAATGATAATAAAACTCACACTCTAGACACTAAAATTACTATTATTGCACATTATTATATTATTATATTTCACACTTGTCTGAGGACAGACTGTGTGCCGAGCAAACCGTGGTGCAATAATCTCTATATAAAAAGGAAAAACGTTCCATGATTTGCGTGTTGGCGGAATACTGCTAGGTTGCCCAGGCCAAGGCAGCTGAATTTCCTTAAGGAATATACAACCGGAGTTTCGGCTAGCCAAAGCCTGACCCGCAAGGCAGTGGGGCGGGGTGTGAAAACCACAATCCTTTGGGAGCCAGTGTCCAGTTCATCGGATCATACGCCCTTTAGACGGGATCAAACGTCCAAGGTGCCCAACACACCTCAATGCCCGATCGAGCCCGTGACCACTGCAACTATCGAAAAGGTGTGGGTGTGGTTTGTGCGCCTCCTCTTGGTTGGTTTGGAATCAGGGTTTTTGGCCAACTTCCCTAGGTGAACAGTGGTCCACCAACCCAGTTAGAGCCCCGGATGTCGGCTACATGCAACAGTTTCAACACTGCTTTCACGCACCAATATTATAAAACCACTAAGACTGCAGAGGGGTTGAATGACTAGGACGTTATTTCTCCTAAGGTCCGCAAAATGAGCTGTATTTAGATAATTTGGTTGACTCGATCGATTTGACAGCCCCAGATAAATCTAGGTTGACGATTTTATAGAAAAGAAATGTATGTTGTTTATTCAGGGATAAACATACCTCCAAGATAGCCTTGTGTTTTACGTCCGAAATGAACAACGGGATAGATGAACAAATTCCGGATAAATCAGCACTACCAGTCGCAAAAACCGCGTTCATTCCAAGCTTCATCAGCAAATCTTTTGCATTTACTCCTTCATTTTCGCTCAGCTTGAAGCGTGGAAGAAGAACCGACGTCTTCTGTTTATCAAAAGGTTCATTCAACACCTTGCTTAAACCATCTGACTCCAGTTTGGGTAGTAAATTATTTATACCGTCTCGCTTGTTCGGCAAAATGATGAGCATTTCCCATCTGAAACAGATGAAATTATTGTTGAATTGTAATATGAAACTCCACATAGAGCAAATTCAAATAAACTCTCCAAGTAAGTAAGAGCTTCCGAGTTTAAGTACTCAAAGAGGAACAATATTCATTAATCCTTCCGAATTTTCCGAATGCCTCTTGACATTATCACGCTCTTCTCTCCCAACCGAACCGGTATCGATTGGCTCCCGCGTAAGCTGTATTAAATACCTGGGGGTTTTCATTGATGCTAATCTTCATTAAACCTCTCACATTCAACACACCGTCAGTTAACTTCGACGACACTTTTTTCATATCCGTAAACTTCATCAGCTTCGTATTCAACAATGCATTACTTCCAAATTCGTGACCAGTGTGTTTTGCCCGTTTGACTTTATTGGTCACCCGTTATTTTGTTCCAATCTCCTAAAGAAGGACTTCAAACTGCTTCGACGTGGACTGACAATCATCAGCCGTGTCTCTTCAATCCCGCTGAAGCAGCTGGTAGCCAACCTGTGCGGAAGTCACTTGAATACATGTGAAAAGTTTGCATCTAAGGTTCTCATCAACTTTACACATCCACTACAAGTAGATTTAACTTCCTGTTGTTCCCATCAATCAACCAGATCCCAATACCGTTTTATTCCCTCACGAATAAACATATATCCTAACTCTACAGTACCCTCATTAGCAGGTATTCTAGTTAAAAAAACAACAGGTTTTCACAGACTTTGTTACCAGTTTGGGTATTGGAATCTCCCTTTTTTCATTTATTTTTTTATTTTTTTCCCCCTCTCCAACTTCTATATGTTTAACTGAAATGTAGGCTTTGTGCCTAAAGAAGTAATTACAGTATAAATACAAATTTGCCAAACTGTTCTTCCATCGTATTCACTCCTTTCGCAACCATTGCACTCCTCGAAAATCACCGTCAATTGCCAGCATGCATCCGGAAACATGCGCAACACTGGCCAAAATCAACACACCTTACGAAGACCTGTCATCTGTGTCAATGCCCAGCCTCCACAGCCAAAACACATCACAAATGATGACCAGATTACTCTACCCCAGTAGCGCAACGCTTTGACAATATCGACATTCATATATAGACTATATCTGCATCTAAGCATGCTAACCAGGCATAACCATTGCGGATGAACAGATATCATGTTAATAACACACAATCCCTGGTTGCGAAATCAGACGGGGATTTCTGTGTACGTAAGAACAAGCTTGCCAACAGGAACGCAATTGCACAGATAGTATTACCAAATCGTTGAAAACTTACGACAGAATCGATTTGATCTTTTAACTTGATAGAGTGACTTGTTTGAGTGCTTAATCAGATTTTCAACATCATTAGGGGAACTCCAGAGTGCTCCGCCCAGCAGTTACTTCCCACTGTACCCGCACAAAGACAAGGAAGGTTCTAAAATTCGAAGTTTCCAAAGATCCACCCGACAAAAATCACTCTCGACGGAGAGGTTTGCCACTAATGTGTATCTAGCTCCAGTTGATACAGAGAAGGTACCAGTACCTTAAATTACATGGTAAACATTTTTGTAAATGTAAGAAACAAGTCATCGAGAGAATGTGGACTATAGTGAGCCCTTAATTCAGGTAGAACTAGCCCCCCCCCCCCNCCTCTCAGAACCAGGCTGCGACTTAAGAGAAGTAAGAGGAGTAAGCGTCGCGCACTAAGGTTGTGATAATTCCGGAAACAAGAGTTACGGTTTCATGAGATCAACAATGCTCTGCAGGAAATGGAAAAAGAACCCGAAAAGAGTGAGATTAGCGGCTGGTTGAACTGAAATGAAATGGCTAGACTGTGCGGTTCATCTGTGATGTGCTTAAGAGGCTACACTGAAAGGACTGAATTCCTTTTTGATTAGACATTCAGTTCTAGAAAAATAATTGATTGTTATTACACAGCGTGATGGGGTGAACACCTAACACAATGCAGTTATCATAGTAATCACCTGCATCTTTTTACTTCTATTTATTCGATATAAAAGAGATACTCGATCTTCAAAATAGAGTAGCAACTGAACAAAAATAGCCAATTGAAAGTGGAGCAGGCGGCGACAAAGGAGGGTTTTAAAATCCAGAACTAACAGATGATTGATGGATGGTCCATATCATATGAACACTGAAGTCATTCTGTTTGCCTATGGATACTTAGGCTCAAAAATTTGAACTAGCGAACCGCAAAGTATTCCGCTTAAATACGTGATATCGAACCATCCTAAAGTACAGTGGCTAACCTTAACAATTGATTGGTCGTTGCAAAGTCAAAACCTCAAATTTTCGGGCACAGAACACGCCAGTGAAAGATATCTAAACTGTCTGAACATCGTTGTACACGACTCAAGTTTAGAATAAAATTCGACTAAAGTAATCTGGTTTTAAATGGGGTTTCCGCTCAGCTATTCTTTGAGTGCAAAAAGAACACGCAGTTCATCGCGGAAAGTCTTCCATACCTAGTGTTTTAGTTCAGTTTTTACAACCATTAACCTTGAACTTTCGTGTGCCGGTTTTGGTTGCTGTCTTTTGGTGCCTCATTTGGATAAAACAGCAGAATGAAGATTGAAATGTTGAAAGCAAATTCAAGCGGAAGATGAAAAATTCATATAGAATAGTGATAGGGGAATAATGAGTGGATGCACGAGCGCCATTGTTTGCGACACCCAGTTATATCACTCGGTGTATCTAACCATTGGTGACGATCATCCGGAGGTCCCCAGCCAGGGAGCCTAACGGGGCCTATGTGACCTAGTCTCCTGGTTAAGGTTTTCAGACCCCATTGCCCGGTCTTAGTTTGACCACCCTTGATCTTTTTCCAATCGCTACCAGCCTTGGCAAACATCGCTCGCCGCGGCAACCTCTCTGGTGGCATGCGTAACTCATGCCCCAACCAACGTAATCTATGCAGGTTGATCACTTGCTCCAGTGGACGACCGCAACTGCCTAAAACTCTACGGCTAACCTCAGCATTGCTCATCCGGCTACCTCATCAGACTCGTGCAATNGACATACCCAGTGTGTGATTCACAAACCAACAATAGCATTGCTAATTGCTTCCAGGTACTTACTTAGATTGACGGAAGGGTAGTTTCACTGCCACAGAGTCCAAATCAGCAAGCACTGTTGATTTGAAATCATCCTCTTTATACATCATTTTCATTTTCTTCTTGGTTCCATTCAGAAGGTAGAAATCGTGTTGCCCAGTTACCTCCTTCGGGAAGGCAATCTCCCACGATCCTGCATTTAAAATAGTCTTGAAACAAAACAAGTGCTTACCTTTGAAATATAAAGCATTTGTGATAGCTACACATGAATCCGATCTCAAAGATCCCGGCGGGAATAACTCTTGTATTTTTTCTTTCGTTTGCTCGCTAACCCACTTGTTGATGCGTTTGCGTGCGGATTCTGCATCAGCAAGGAAATCCACCTATTAAGAAGACAATGATCCTTTGAAACAATTTAATTTACATTTTCCGTGTCTGCCTGGTAGTCTTTGAGCAACAACGATTTGTACTCGGCATTGATGGGTGCATTTTGTTCGGCAAAAAGCCGGTTTCCGACCGAAACCGTAACACCTGGAGTCGATTCGAAACAGCTACGAATGGTAGTTCCAATGCTATTATGATGTGTTTCTTGACTCATACCCGCGGCCAGTTGCAAAGCTGACAACATCTCACGTTTGGTTTCCCCTTGGCTACCAGCTAGGACCATCGACATCGCCGCGTAGATACTCACCGGGGAAACAAACACATTGTGATAATTGCCTGGAAAATACAAATAAGCAATAACGTATGCATAAACATACCTCCCTGGGACTCCACAACTTTCGCATACAATTTGTCGCTGAAATCTTTTAACGCCTGACACACGGAAGCCATTTGAGAGATCTGAAAGGAAGAACCGATCAAATCAGCAAAATGAATGACCCGATACAAATATTTTTGATTATCCGGATAGTTCAATTATATATATTCACACACGTCTGAATCCAGACTATGTGCCACACAAATCAAAGCACAATAATCTTTATGAATATGAAAGTCGTTCCATGATTTGCACGTGAGAGGAACACTGCCAGGTTGCCCAGACCAAGGCAGCTGAATTTCTTTGAGAAATCTACAATCGGAGCCTTAGAGTAGTCAAAGCCTGGCCCGAAGGGCAGCGGAGCGGTGTGTGGAAACCACAATCCATTGGAGGCCGGTGTCCAGTTCACCATATCATACGCCTTTTGGACGGGGTCAAACGTCCAAGGTGTCCAGTGCACCTCGATACCCAATTGAGCCGGTGGCCACTGCCACAACCGGCAAGGTGTGTGGTTTGTGCGCCTCCTCTTGTTTGGTTTTGAAACAGAGTTTTGACCAACTCCCCTATGTGAACCGCCAGTGGCCCGTCAACCCGGTTATAGCCCCAGATGTCGGCTTTTTCCTCACTTTGATGGAAAAAGACCTCTGACACAATAAAGTGAGTAGGGCTTCCTCAGTAGAGGCTGATTGAAGCGCTTGGTCGTACGGCAGCATTTCAAGAGATACAAGGGAAGGGTGAACAGTCGCAACCTTAGACACTCACATCCGGCCATACTGAGGCTTTCGTCCAATCCTACCTTTTTTGTTACATAAATTTGTGTGGTGAGCAGCTGACGGGGTGAACCCCATAGTCACCAGGACCGTTGATTGCACCCTTCGTCCTCTGGATGCTATCATGGCTCACTAACCTACAACACTGCGACCAATGGCACGTAGAACCGTACAACCAATCAGGGATGGTGCACGCAATTCCGTGCCTAGAATGTGAACAACGTTACGCAGGAGAGACAGGTAAACAACTTTGTACTCACCTACAGGAACACACTTATAGTACGACGCGCTAACCCGAAGTCACCGTCGGAACCACTGCGCAACGACAGGTCACGAGGTCAGAAGCAACGACGTAAAAGTAGTGACAAGGGTAAAGAGAAAGGGGGAACATCTGATTCTCGAAGTGCGCCTTTCGACGAACTCATTTAATAGGCAAATGGAAATAGATAAATATTACGTAACGCTTGTACAATCAACGAGGAACGCGGGGCTCATGGGCAAACGTGCGACACCAGAAAACTCGAGGTTTAGAACGATTCCCTTTTGAGGCAATTAATTTGCGAGACAACCAAACCCATAAAACAGGCTCCAAGTCTTCAACTTGAAGGACGAGTGAAACATTTCTGCTACTCCGTACATTGTTATTAATCCAAGTGGCGCTACCACATGCTCCGGTAAGCCATTTAAAATAATTTTTTACCCCTGACAGCACCTGGGATGATTTACCGTCCCATTACAGTATCCCCAGACGATAGTTCTAGTGAGCACCCTCTCAATTGAGAGGATCAATCCTTTCAAGGATCCTTAGGAGCTGATTGGCCAGCGGCAGAGCATTAGTATAAAAGATATCGGTTCGGTTCATCTTCAGGATTACAATTACGCTGAAACATAATGCATTAAAGCCCACGTTCAGAGGCAAACAACTGTTCTCAGTAATTTATCGTCTAGCTTTTATAGATCATATAAGGAAACGGCATGTCAAAAAAGGACAGACACTGTCATTCAAAAATCACGGTGATTGGTTTCGTGCACATAGATTAGGTGTGAACAAACGAAAGCCGATCTCTTCCACAGTTGCTAGGTTGTGGAGATGCAGCGATTTCGATTGATCCATGCCGTGGCCGAAGATCTATCGCACAGATGACGCGTCACAACGTGATGGCAGTTTTGTGGTAACACTGTGGTGTGAAACACGTCGCACCACTCACCCCACATCTGTCTCCCTTCCAACCAATCACCGTGACATTTGAATGACTGAAAACCTACCCTCGTTTGACATGCCATTTTCTTATATGATTTGTACAGACTAGACGACGAATCAATGAAAACAACTGTTCGCCTCTGTACGTATTCTCATGTTGTAATGGGTATATTCCGGAATCTAAAGGGCATTAACTAATTTTCTTCCAAACATATCCTTGAAAATGAGTTTTTAAGTCAGGTGAGGTCAAGTAAGGTTGCACAGGACGTTTAAGGCTTTCGCCAACCGAGCGTCCAGATTCTTGCCCCAGCCGGAACCAAGGTTCTACCAGAATTTCGACTTCTTGTCGACTGTTTGACCACAGCTGCTTTCTTCGCCTAGAGCAGCCTCCTTTTTCGATTCCGTATCTGCAAAGAGAGGTTATTCGAAAATTGGAAGCATAGAAAACCTACTGTTAATAGTAGGCACCCTAGAAGATTTGTGTGTAGGGAGTAATCCAGATCCTATCTAGTTGCAATCTTAACTTCATCATCACTGAACAGCAGGTTCTCGTGACTATGGGATTTACCCTGTTGGCTATTCATTACACGAAAGCGAATTTGGAAGTTGGTTCCACTCATCTATCACTCCGTTCATGAAGAAGTTAGATTTAAGATTGAGTCAGCTCCTGGGCTTCATTAGCTTCAAATGGCTCCCCCTTGTTGACTCAGGTGGAGTTCGTGTAAACAGGCTGTCCGCCTCTAACCCTGTCAGCCCCGTTATTACTTTGAAGGCTTCATGAAAGTCGCCTCTCAAGCGTATCCTCTCGATGGAGAAGAACCCTAGGGTTTCCAACCTCTTCATATGATTTACCTCTCATTTAGCTATCATCCTAGTGGATAATCTTTGCACCCTCTCAATGCAATAGATATCTTTTCTCAAGGCGCCCAAGCTTGTACGTAGTACTCCAACTGCGGTCTAACTACGACCTCATATAGCGGATCCAAAACCTCTGTCTTCCTAGACGACAGAGCTGCCTTCAGCTGGAATAGTTGACCCCTCGCATTTTGCGCAACTCTCAGGCATTGGTCACTAGGTTTGAAGTCCTCGCGAACTAGAATCTTCAGCTCAATCATTTGGTTCATTTGAGTGAAGACTGTCGGATCCGCGGTCGTAAAGACTCGGACCGGAAGCTCTAAGTTGTTTAGAACATGATACTTGGTAGCGTTTAGCTCCAAATCTCACTTCTGTGTTTACCGGACAACCCTAGCCAGATCGGTTTCTAGTTGATCTAATGGTCCTGAGTTCACTAATTTTAAGTCATTCGCAAAGTCAAAGGTTGGAATTGGGAGGTCTCGAGCCAAATCGTTTATATACAGTAGAAAGAGCATCGGGCCTAGCACTGAACCCTAAGACCCTCCACTGAATATGCTACCAACGGTGGATTTAGCTTCTCCCAACCGAACTCTGAGTCCTGTCGGTGAGGAACGTTTCTATCCATTTAAGTAGAGTTACTGGGATACCGAATCACATGAGCTTAATTGACAGAAGTCGGCGATTTTCCGAGTCAAGGGCCTTTCTAAAGTCCAAGTAAAACACTCCAACTTCCTGTTCTCTATCTAACCTCCTTGTGACTTCGTCTAAGACACAAAGGAGGTTCTTCAAAAAAGATCTTTTGAGAAAGCCGTTCTGGGTGGGGCTAATCAACCTGTCGGGTGACGTGCTCACAAAGAGCATTTCTATGGTGACTAGACCCTTACACAACACCCTGATTAAACTTACGATTCTATAGGTACCAGGTTAACTTTTATCTCTACTCTTAAGGATGGCTACCACGATAAAAGTCGTTGAATCCCTGGGTACTCTCCCAACCCTTAGGGACTTATGGTAGAGTGTGGTTGTGGAAGGGACCAGCACAGGTCTGATAACAGCAGGGTGCAGTCCGCCGCTGCCAACACACTGGCTTGCTTTTAGGCTCCCCAGGATCTCGAGGACATTAGTAGCTACGATTTGTAAACCGCCCATCGGAGAGGCGTTTTGATGCTCTTGCTGTACAGCCCGCCCGTCATCTGTTTTGCAGACGTTTTCAAAGTATTTCCTGAGCGGCTCAAACTTTTCTGGATCGAGAGCAGATCTCCGGGGTCCTCCAACGTGTCTACCGATTGCCTCAGTGCAACCTTCGATTGCACGTAGCTGTAGTATCTTTTGGGTTCGAGTTGAGCTCACTTAGTAATTTTGAACTCATTTTCGCCGGTTGTATTAGCTTGTTCGCATAGTTGCGCGCCTTCATATATGGTAAACACCTATCATGCCTTCCTGTGAGCACGAGTTCCTTCCATCCACGAGCACTCCCCTATGGCGCGTTTGATGCCAGGTTTCATGTGTATCGCTCCGAGGCTGAAAAGGGACTTGCCTCTCTGTCAGCTCTAATGGCTAGTCCCGAATTATATCCCGCCTTTGATCAACGGACGATTCCATTTTTTGTGGGACCAATCCTGTGGCTTGGGCATCGAAATCTAAGTTCGGAACATTCATTCGCCCGAAATTCCAGCGCAACATGCGGGGTAGGTTTTCCTTTACAACGCAAATTTTTAGCAACGGCATATATTAATTGCTTTTACCGAGAAGAAACGCGTCTTACGTTATTGATCTTGCTCTCCTTCCGTGTGATACAGCCATTCCATTTCGGGAAGAATGAAATCTCCACTGCAGATCGGTGAGTAATTTCCCGATCATCATCCGATTCAGAGTTTGGTGATCGGTATACCGATTTAATTTTCGAATTATAAACACCTGATAAGCAAACGTTTCACTTTCGGTTTCTAACTATGCAGCCTGTGGTCTTCGCTGTTGGTTTACATAGCGTGAGCTCAGCTATTTCCCAGTGGCCAGCGAACGAGAACAACCTTCTCCATCAAATCATTTCAGCTCAAAACAGTTCTCAATGGACGATTTATCGCTCTTTCAAAACGAAAAACCAGATTTGTGTGTTGTCGGCGAGTTTCCTTGGCTTCCAACACTTTGATAAGCAATTTCCCTGGAAGGCAGAATGTATATTCTGAGCAAAATTGTTCTGCAGTTCTGTAATGGTCGCATTACATTGCCGCAGATGTAAAACAAGTCA